AAAAAGGGAAGAAAAAGGGAACGACAGGACAACTGCCATGTAGACATAAAAACTTGAGTGTAGTGCGGCAAGGGAGCAACCTAATGGGACACATGCAATCCTTGTTACTGAGTCGACGTTTAAAAGGATCCTTGGCAGCCCCGTCTGTGGAATGACGGAGTAGCTTTTTCCCTGGTTCGTCTATTCCTTCCGCTTTCTCTCATCCGACTAGGCGCTTATATGTCCACACACTCGATGGGCTCATCGCACGAGAGGGGAACAGCTGCGCTGGGGGCTGGGGTGCACAGCGGGAGGGCGTCCTGCTTCATTAACAGTAGGACCTTCTCCAATGTCTCGTTCAGTGCATCTACTTCTTTGCACATCTCCTCATAGTGAGTCGAGAGCACCTCCTTCAACGAGTCCTCCGAATGAGTGGCACAAAACTGAACCGTTCTGTCATTTATTTGGATTACATCGGGAAAATGCTCGTAAATTATATCACATACCTTCTTTAGGCTGCTTTGGAGGGATGATCTTATGTGGGGTACAACTCTCTCTGTCTCCTTTAGCATTTCCTGTGCGCGGGTGATTTCTTCGGCGGGCTTCTTTTGGTCCTGCGGTGAGGGGAAGATGTGAGAAGAAGCGGTTACCGTTGGGGTGAGCAGATGCCGTGCAGTTGGCCTGCATCCAAGGGGAGAGAGCTTTCCCCCCCCACCAGTGCATCCCTCTTCGCTCATTTGGGGAGACCTACCTTGAGGGAATTCACTTTGGTACGCAGTTCGTCCTCCTCCTTCTCGTAGTAGGTTAGCTCCTTGAAGAGCCTGCGGACAGCTCCGTGGTTGATTTTTAGCAGCCGCAAGTGCGCGGCGGGGTTTTCCATGATGTCCTTTGGAGGGGGTGAGGTAAGCAGTTGGAATGGCCTCTGCGAGTTTGTGCCGACTAAACAATTGCGTGGGGGACTTGATAAGCATATGCTCCGCTGAGCGTGTACGTTTCACTGATTATGCAACGGAGGGGTGAAAGACCTGCAGCGGTGCCTTCCTAAAATGGGATTCGTCGTCTCTTGGGGGAAAGGCAGCGCGAAAAAATGTGTAGCAGTGGCAGCAGTAGGAGTAGTCTTTTTTTTTTTTTTTTCTTGCGCTGCTTTTGCTTGGCTTGTGCTGCCTTCTGGTTCTTCACCTTTTGCGCGACACACAGTCACTCCCAGTACCCGCGTTGCGTGGAGGACTGCTGCATGACGTGCACAGTGGGGCAGTTCCTCCTCGGGGTGAAGCTCAAAAGGGGGGGAATTTTCCGGTCATACAATGGCTTGTACGAAGTGTTTTTTTTTTTTTTTTCAATTTCCCAACCTGTGTAGTTTTATCTCAACCCCGGAGTTACAGCTGACCCATGCACACTGTTTCCCCTTCTCTGCTGACTACTTCCCCGTTTGGCACGGAAGACACTCACTTTTAGAAGGCTCCTACGAGATGTTCCTGCGAATGCTGGTGCCCCTTCCTTTTGTGGAGAGAGAGCTACATTGTGAGGGGAAGCCGCGTGGAGGCCTCTCCACTTGATTTCCTTCCCAGTGAAACTCCCCTCCTGCTGCCGTCAGGCTACGACACAGAGTTAACCATTTAATGTGCGTTGTTGTTACGAAGTTGTGTAGGAGTTCGCGAAAAAGAAAAAAAAAAAAAAGAAAGTGAATGCAAATGCGAATGCGAAAAAGGCATGCAATTACGTATGCACTTAATTTAGATGAAAACAATCTGTTCGTTTTTTCGAACCCAGGGTGGTATAACTGATGGGGCGGGAGTTGCGACGTACCAGGGATAACATTGGTGTCTGTTCGCAGGGGGGCGTATGTGTATGTATGTCTGTGCGGGTCTATTTCGCCTGCAGCCGTCCTGGCGCTTCACTGAGTCGCTCCGCTGCGCCGCTTCACTTCACGCAGGCGGCCACTCGCACGTGCAGGTACTTGCGCATGTCCAGGGCACTCTCATTCCCACAATAGTAATTCAAGATCTCTTCATTGACGATGTAACCGAGCTTCCGATACATGTTGATAGCTGGCTCGTTTGTGATGCGGACAAATAGGTCGACAAAGTTGGCCCTGTGGATGACTTTGGATATTTTTTCAAATTGATTCATGAGGTCTACACCCTTTCCTGTTCTACGACTGTCCTCCTCGATGGATAAGGCCGTCACGTGTCCGTGGTATTCGGCTCCCAGTCCTTCTTCTTTGCCTGCACAGGGAAGGGGGATAAGGGGAAAATGAAGCCACCGTTGGAGGGGCACCTCCCTAGGTGTTAGCTCCGTCAGAGAATCGCTGCGCCAATCGACTCCGCCGCTAATCCTGTGGTGAACTGACCTATGATGTATCCACTGATATGATCGTCCATCTCCTTCGTCACGATGTTCATGTGGGGCCACTTATAAATATACCGAAGATAGAATCTATCGTTGAAAACCTCCGTGAAGGGGTCCAGATTAACGTTGTTGATTTTGTAGAGATCTACATAGCTGAGGTACTGATAGCTAGCCATTTTTTTTCCCTCGGGGGGGTTAGGAAGTTGGGGCGGAGCGGTGTGCCTTGTGTGGGCAGATGGGTCTCTCGGCGGGGACGCGGAAAAGCATGTTAAGTGGAGCAGTGGGGGGAGGGAAATCCGTCGGAATAGTGGAAGTAGTCAAATCCGTGGGAAGAGTTCAACCGCATCGTCATCGCAGCTCGACTGTGCAGTGGGGGGGCGCGACCAGCAAGTCACAAAAAATAGGAATCAGTAAAAATCTACAAAAAAAGCGAGACCTCTTCTTGACTCGCACGTTCATGCCAGTTGGGGGCAATTTTTCGAAAAATTTGAAACACTTCGAACGTTTGCCACGTTGGGATCTTTGAGATCGATCTTTGCCACCTTTGCGATCTTTCGGATCCTTGCCATGTTTGCGAATTTTTTGCATACTCCCTATTGCATAGCTTAACAGGGAGGGAAAAGTTGCACAGGGGAAGATCACAAACTGGGAGGCACACGAATGATGTATGGTTGCGGCAGTGGGGGAAAATCAACTGCACTAGAACGATACTCTCTTTTGTAGGTGGTATTCCTTCGACGCGGGGGTAGCCGGAGGGCCACACGTCCCCAAGCTGAAGAGCGTCCCACTGCGTAACGATGTAGCATACACGGATGCCAACTCTCACTGCACACTGCAGCTCCCATTTCGACATATACATGTAGTATATTCTTCCGCTCGTGCGGGATGAATACGAAAAATCTGTTTATGCGGCACGCCGAGCTGAGCACACGGATGGGCAATGGGCACCTCACCCTCGGTCTTTTTCGCGTTTTCCACGTTTTCCTCTTTTCCGATTTCCCGCTTTTCCCCGTCCAGCTGGTCCCTCACAAACGAATTCCCGTCAGTCCAGGAGGTCCACATTGGTCGCCTTGGTCGAATGGCTCTGTTGATCGTACGTGACGTAAAATTTGACCCTTTCGCCTGGCACTAAGTATTTGAACTGTGTTTTTATTTGTTCCTTCCTTCCAGGGGGGGGATCGTCACTTTCGAAGTTGTAATCTTCTTGGCGAGGTTGCATGTCCAGCCTCGAGCACCAGCTTAGTTTTTTTTTCTCCTCACTGGTTAGTGAGAAGGTCCTGCCTGTCGGAGTGGAGCGATGTGGTGTGTTCGCATTGGTGTGTTCGCATTGGTGTGTTCGCATTGGTGTGTTCGCATTGGTGTCGTCGCATTAGTGCGTGTAAACGTAAGAGGGAGGTCTGGTGTGAAGATGGCGCCGGGAGGTATGGTTGCCTACACGTCGGCTCCTCAAGGCTCACCGTT